GAGACCCGCCTGGGCAACTTGGCGAGACCTTATCTCTACAATAAATAAAAAACTAGCTGGGCGTGGTAGTGCGCGCCTGTAGTTCCGGCTACTCGGAAGGCTGAAGCGGAAGGATCGCCGGAGCCCAGCAGGTCGAGGCTGCGGAGCGGCCACTGCCCTCCAGTCTGGGCGACAGAGTGAGACTCCAACTCAAAAAAAAAAAAAAAAAGAGGCAACTTGTGGGGTCTTGCGGAGGTGAAAACAAACAACACAACACCTTTGAGTTTTAAAGCGCCCGTCATTGTCGCCGCCCACAGGCAGAGGAGAGCCGACTGCGCGAGCCCCGCCCCCGCAACGGCCCCGCTCCCGAGTGGGCCCCGCCCCGCCTGGCTCACCCAGGTCGGCGATGCAGCACTGCAGATTGCTTTTGACTAGCACGTTGCGGCTCTTCAGGTCGCGGTGGGCGATGGCCGGTTTGCCCTGCGTGCCTAAGATCTCCACGTGCAGGTGCGCCAGGCCGCAGGCCGCGGACGTGGCCAGCCTCAGGGCCAGCTGGGGCTCCAGCGGCTGCCTCTGCAGGAAGTCGTAGAGCGAGCCGTGTTCGTGGAAGTGCGTGATGAGCCACAGCTGCGTGCTGGAGTTGCGGGAGGTCATGTCCGAGGCAATGAAGCCTGCGCGCAGGAGGGCTGGGTGACTTAAGCGGCTGGGGCGCAGAAAGGCCAGGGTCAGGGTGGGGCTGGGGAGAGGGAAAGGCCTGGGTCCCCGGGGCAGAGTGGAAGTTGATCTGGTTTAGGTCAGGCGCCAACTGGAGTCAGAAGTCGGGGCTTAAGGTGGGCTGGGGGTCCTCCAGGGTTATGTCCAAATCTGGAGGTCTGTGGACCCCAGCCCTGAGTGCAGGAGGCTGAGAGCCTGCGCCTGGTATGGTGGGCCTTGCCTAGAATGTTGTCGTGTCTGAGCAGCACTGTGTTGTAGATCTCGGTCTCGCGGAACCAGGACTGTTCATCCCTCGAGGAGAAGATCTTGACTGCCACACTCTCACCATGCCACAGGCCCCGCCACACCTCTCCATAGCGGCCCTTTCCTGATCCGATGGCCAGAGGGGACAGTGAGGGTCACACACCAGGACCAGAGAGTGCCTCAAGAGCCCCTATCTTGATGCTGCGCTGAGCCCAATTTTATCCAGACCCAACCCTCCGACTCCAGCAGAAGGCCGTAGCCCTGGCCCGTCCCCAGCCCACTCCCTGCACAGCCAAATTCCCATTCTGACCCAGGCCTGATTCTGCCAGTGACTCTGGAAGTCAGGAGCTCCCTTGCCCCTCCAGGCTCCTGGGAGCCCTTGGTCCCCACCCACCAGGCTCACCCCTGCTCACCCACACACTCCACCAGGGTGACTTGCCGCGCCACTGTCCTCTGCACCAGGAAGGGAAGCCCCGAGCCACTGCCTGTGGTGCAGTCGCTGTTCAGGAGGTCCTGGAGGTACCAAGGGGCCACTGAGCGCTGCCCCCACCAGCCACAGCCTGCATCTCTGTCCTCAACCTGAGTCCTGCTGCTGCGTCACCCTTCACTGTTCACTCATCCAGCTCCCCACCCGCTCTAGTCTCTAGATGAGATTCTGCGGCTCTCATCTGCCCCCCCTCCCCTGTGTCCCAGGTTCCCAGGCCCATACCCCTAACATGCTGTCCCCCTGCTCGGACGCCTTCAGGATGAAGCTGGACTCGCCCAGCTCGCTGTGCAGGCCCCGCTGCTTCTTGTGCCTCCGCCGGACGTGCCACAGGCCCAGGGCACCAAGGGCCACCAGGACCAGCAAGGCCAGCATGGGCCCCAGGATCAGAGGCAGCTGGCCATCTATTTCTGGCTGCTCCGAAGGAGTTTGGGTGGCTGGGGAAGGGGGACACTGAGGCCCAGCTTCGGCCAAGCTAGCTCCCTCCACCTTGGGCCAGATCGCTCTGCCAGTCAGATCCCAGAGGCCTGCCCATACCCCCGCCCCCCCACTGGCCAGAGCATGAGACAAAAGCTGGGCAGGGAGAAGAGGGTCCGAGAAGAAGGTGACGGGATGCTGGGGCAGCCGGACGTACCCATCAGCACCAGGGACACGTTGTGGTTGCAGAAGGAGTTGTAGCAGCAGAAGTGGTTGAAGGCCTCGGTGGGGCGCCCCATGCAGAGCTCCCAGTCTATGTTCCCGCAGCCCCGATATTCCTGGAGGTGCCTGCCCTCCTCCCGCACCAGCACTACTGTGCACCAGGCCCCCTGGCAGGTAAGCCCCTTGCAGTGTGGATTCTTACACGTGCAGGTCACCAGAGGGCCCCGGGAGGGCTTCAAGGGGTCACCTGGGAGACACACAGGACGCTGAGCCACCCTGGGCCCAGGCTAAGCCCAACACCCATTTCTGTCACACTGCCCCACCTTCTGACCCCTTGGACAAACCCCTCGAGGCCTTGGTCCCTCACTCCCATCCTCAGAGCATCCTTCTCTCAGAGCCTTGCCGCAGTCAGGGGCAGCTGACACTTGAGAAACAGGCTTCTGTCCCTCCTGGATCCTAGGACTCACCCCCACCCAGCTCTAGGCTGGCCCTGGCCCCCAGGCTCCTGTCCCTCCTGGATCCTAGACCCTCCCCAACGTCTCTCAGTTCCAGGCTCTCCCTGCCAATCTCCACACTTCCTCCTCCCCAGATGCAGCTTTCCACCCTGGAGTCTCACAGAGCACCAGCCTGCAGGTCTGGACCAAGAGGACAGTAGAAGCTTAGGGTATCTGGGAGCTTAGGCTAGCTGAGCCTCTCTGTCCCCCACTCTCCAGCCAAGCTCCCAAATCCTTCTTCTTCCCAGCGCCTCAAACTCAACTCCAGCCAGCCCAGATGGCCCTTTCTCCCTCTAGGCCCCTGATCGCTAACGGCTCCCCCGTACTCACCCTGGGTCAGTTCCAAGGCCATCAGCAGCATCAGAAGGCCCCTCCTGGGGAGGCCCAAGGTCATGGTCCCTGGAAAGAGAAGCAGGAGAAGGGCAGTAAGATCTGCAAAATGGGATAGCCGCTGACCGAGGCTTTCTCCTACCCAGAGGAAATCACTGAGAGTTTTTTTGGGGGGGGAGCTGGAGAGGCCGCCTCCCTACTCCCTGCGTCTGGTTTTGGGGCGGGGCCTGCAGGGGAAGTCCTGCTTCACTTCCCCATGGAAACCATCCTGTTAGAGGTGAAGGGTGGAGAGCCATGTTGAAGGGAACAAGAGCTTGGAGGAGCCCCGGCCTGGAACCCTTGCTGCGGGCTCAGGCTGAAGGCTGGCTGGGAGGGCCGCAGAGGGCACCCGGCTGGGGTAGAGGCAGCATCTCTCCCGCAGCCCCCCTCCCCTTCTGTCCTCGGCCTCTTGCCCACCCATCCCCTCCCATCCTCCACCCCTGCCTACCCCTTTCCCAGTGCCCCCCCAGCCCTGGCTGCCTCAAACATAAACAGGCTCCTGTCTTCACTTCCTGCCATTCAGGGTCCCGCCAAGCCAGGAACAGGAATCAAGATTGTTTAGATTGGGGTCTGGATAGAACAAGTAGGAGTCACGCACAGCGGGGAATTAAAGGCATGTTCTCAGGGCAGGCTAGAGCCAATACAGGGTCTGCAGGAGCCGCCTGGGAACCCACACGGCAGAATCCTAGGAGGACAGTCTGTGAATCACAAAGTCCAGCTCCTTATTTTGGAGACCAGACACATTAAGACTCAGAGGAGGAGACTTGTCCCAGGTCAGACAGGGCTCAGTAGCAGGAGTACAAACCAGGTTTGCAGACTCCCAGTCTAGTGCTCTTTCCACTGTTTCCCGATCCAGTGGTGGCAGCCCATGTCTGAGCCCCCAGGGTTCACGCGAAGCTTGGACGGTGCCAGGCTATAAAGGAAGCTCTCGGCAACCTCCCCACAGTATACCATCCCCATTCTGAGCCATTCCCTGGCCTTCTGCCTCCCCACTGTCCTGGGAAAGGGTGGGGGGAAGGCCAGTGACATGGGAGGGGAAGTGAAACACACTTAGACACTGAATGTTTGACCTTCCATGGCTTCTTTTCCAGAAGTTTGGTGAACAGCGCTAAGGGGAATAATTCTGGCCTATGAAAGTCCCTGACCCAGGTCCCAAGCCGCCCACTCTTCATTTCTCAAAAGTTTAGAACCAGAAGAGATGAGCTGAAGCCGCAGCAAGAAGGACTGAAGGTCAGACAGCAACAGGAACTTTCTGAATGGTGGCACCTGTACAGGTGTATGTCTGGGGACTGGATTCCCCAGGCAAGGCAGCTAAACATGAGGAAGGTGTCCTTTGGCATGACATGCTGAGGCTGGCAGGGCTGGTATGGCCACATCAGCTGCAAAAAGCCCATAGTCTAAGAACGGTGCCAAATGAAGACCCAAGATGTTGAGGCTCTGAGGGCAGGACGCCTAGGGGTAGAGTGGGGGTCTTCATGGGCCTCTCTGCTGCTGGCAGCTCTGGCCTTCCTGCCTGGGCTTCCTCTACCCCAGAGGCCCGGGCTGGAAGAGGAAATGGAGCCCTGGGCTGCTGCAGCTGTGTCCCCAGCCTCTGCCTGACCTCCTGCCTCTTGCCCCTCCTGTAGCCAGTGGGGCTGAGTCAAGCACTCTACAGCGGTTACAGCAGTGGATAGAGGGTACCCAGAGAAGCTGCAGTTACTCCTGGGGCCCTGGCAGGAAGCCACTCATGATTGCCTTTGCTTGTCCAAAAAACAGCTAAGCAAGCCAGGCTCGGTGGCTCAGCCTGTAATCCCGCGCTTCGGGAGGCTGAGGTTGAGTGGATTACCTGAGCCCGCGGGTTCGAGACCCGCCTGGGCAAACTGACCTCATCTCTACAATAAATCAAAAATTAGCCGGGCGTGGTAATGCGTGCCTATAGTTCCAGCTACTTGGAAGGCTGAGGCGGAAGCCCAGCAGGTCGAGGCTGCAGTGGCCGGGAGCATGCCACTACCCTCCAGTCTGGGCAACAGAGTGAGACTCCAACTCAAAAAACAACAACAACAAAAAAAAACAGCTAAGCAGAGGGTATGAGGTGAGAAGAAAAAGGTGGCTCACAGTAAGGGGAAAATCTGGCCTCCATCTGGGTACCCCCTCCCAGACCTCCATTTCCCTGACCATGCTAAGTCCACCCTCTCACCTGCTTCATCACGCGTAGGCACCTCCCCATGTGCTTGGCTAGAAACGCACATTCTCTGGTCTCACCCTCACTCTGGCTTCTGATTAGGTTCATGGGAGACCCGTGATTTCAAGAAATTCCCCCAAGGAGATTCTGAGTCGGTTGCATGGGCACCCCACTGTGAGAAATGTGTCATGCACAACACAAACACTGGGTCCTGAGCTTTCATCTTGCTGAGCAGGGCCCCACTGGGCAAGTGGGACACAGAGAGAGGGGACTCTCGCTCCCACCCGGGGACCTCCCACCTCCTGGAGGAGAAGGGACAGCCAGGGCTAAACACCAAAACCAGGGACTTGGTGACATGTGCAGTGAGGCCTGGCGGCATTTGTAGAATCCACCTCTGCTCCAATCCTGGGAATGTGATAGAGTGAAACTGTCCAATTTTCGGCTGTGCCCAGTGTAAGGCTAAGTACGGGAAGGTGCTGAGTCCGGACCCGTCCAAACTCAGAGCTGACCTCGCACGATTTGCCTGAAACCTGACTGTGGCACAAACAGACTCCTGGGGCCTAGCGGCAACCTTTCACTTCTAAGCAAAACTTCGGGAAAGCTCTCCTGCTGACAGAAGCAACACTGTGGTTGGCCAGAAATTACAGATGCTGCACTAATTTCAAACATGAGCTAAACACTGTGAAACATTTAATCACAGCTCATCTTTTCTGACAATGAATTACGTGTTAAGGACTAACCTTAGCTGGGCTCGGTGGCTCAGCCTGTAATCCCGTGCTTTGGGAGGCTGAGGTGAGTGGATTGCCTGAACTCGTGGGTTCGAGACCCACCCGGGCAACTTGGTGAGACCTCATCTCTACAATAAATCAA